ATCTTTTTTTACTAAATCACAAGGTATTGTGCAACATAAAAATTTTTGCATACTCCCAAATTTCTAAATTTATATGCGCTATAACCCTTAATTTTGGTCATTTTCAATCAAATAGCAAGTAGTCCTCCTACATAGAATATTGTACGCATACCTCAAAACTCGAGAATTCAATGGACTATATTATATGATTTTGGCCGTTTACGACCAGACCACAAACTAACATAGTTTTTGGCATATTATGCATACCGGAGAATTCACAAATTATTGTGGACTATAAGTCATGATTGTGGCCGCTTTAAGAAAATTACAAATTGACTTCCTACAAAGAATATTTTACGCGTACAACAAAATTTCTGAATTTTACTGGACTATAAACCATGAAATTGAGCATTTTCAACAAAATAAGTTGTCGTCTCACTTGGAATATTAAATATATACTTCAAATTTTATGAATTTTTGTTGGATAATCACTGGGTATTCACACACTTAGAATATCTACACGTACCCTGAAACTCTTGAATTTTTATGGAATATAACTCAAGACTTTGATCATTTTTAACCAAATCACAAATAATCATTTAGCATAGAATATTTTAGGTGTACTCCAAAATTCCCAACTTTTTATAAAGTGGAACCCATTATTTTAGCCATTTTCGTCTAAATCACAATTTCCTATCCTACATTGAATATTTTGTGTACTGGAATTTTTTTGAAATTTCCATTGAATAACCAATGATTTTGGTCCTTTTTGACCAAATCACCAATTGTCCGTCGAGTAAAGAATATTTTATGCGTACTATAAGATTCATGAATATGTTTTGATTATAACCCACAGATTTCATCATTTTTTATTAAATCACAAATAATCGCGCATAAAACATGTTATGCATACTTCAAAATTCCATAATTTTTGTGCGTTATACCTTATAATTTTGGTCCTTTTTTGACCAAATCACAAGTTCTTATCTCAAGAAAAATATTTTAAGAGTACTCCTAAAAATTTCAAATTCTTATAGTCTGTAACCCATTATTTTGAATATTTCGACCAAATAACAATTTATCATTCCTCATAGATTATTTCCTGTTTTCTCCAAAATTCCCCAATTTTCTATAAAGTATCATCCATGATTGTACCCGTTTTAGGTCAATAAATAAATTATAGTCTCGTATAAAAAATGTTAACTATAGACTAAAATTTACGATTCTCCCTGGAATATATTCCCATGATTTTGGTCAATTTTGACTAAATCACAAATTGTCGTCCAACATAAAATATTCTATGCGTACTCCATAATTCCCAAATTACTTCGAAGCAACGTACAATTTTGTTTATTTTTTATCAAATCACAAGTTGTCAACACATACAGTATTTTACACCTATTCCCAATTTCCCGAATATTTGCAAACTAAAACAACCTATGGTTTTGGCCTTTACTCAACAAAATCACAACTTGTCCTCTATAAATATTTTGTGTAATCCAAAATTAACTTATATATTTGGCTGTTTTCAATATACAAATTGTCATAGTACATAGAATATATCATACTTGCTCCGAATATCTAGACTCTCTGTGGAAACAATACCTGATAGTTTGTCATTTATGACCAAACTTCTTGACTTTCTATGGACACAACTGATAATTTTGACTGTTTTCGACCAAATCACAAGTTCTCATCCTGCATAAAATATTTTTTGCATACTTAAAACTCACAAACTTCTTAGGATGATAACTGATGGTTTTGTCCGTTTTCGACTGTATGCGTCAAAAATTGCATATAGGTTCCCACACGTAGTTCGAGACGAAACGAAGACGATAAACGTCATCATGAGATTATCCGATGCTAAGACGAAATGACGAAGCGCATAAAACGAGTCGGTGAAATGTACAAATCCGTGAAACGACGGAACAAGACCAAAACAAGACATAGTTGCTTGGAAATCGCATCAAAGCAACCCGCCAATGTGCGAGTTACATCAAAGTGACCCACACCCGTGCGGGTCACGTTGATGTGACCCGCACTCGTGCGGGTCATGTTAATATAACCCAAACTCATGAGGGTCACCTTAATGTGACCCGCACACCTGCTAGTCACATTGAACTGACTCGCACACCGCTTTCCGAAAACACGTATTTCGATGTTTTCTCGCGATTTGTTCGTTCCAGAGCCTCCGAACTACTTGGATATCATCTCTAAATATGGTTAGGCCGTTATTAACTGAAGATGAGGCCAAATCACTTGTTCTTATCCAAAAACACTGCAACTGAAGCCTATAAATACAAGTCTAGGGTCCTATATGCATCTGAAATTCTGAAAAGAGGACGAGGTGTTGTCGGTTTAGAGAGTGAATCCCACGAATTTCAGAGGTCTAGCAGATTTTGGCAAACTCCGACATAAAGAAGGAGCATTTCGAGAGATCTGATGCCCGTTTCGTCATTCATTGAGATCAGAATTTGTACTGATCTCGAGAAGTGTAGTAATCTCACTTTGTTGAGATTATTTACTTCTGCGATTGTTTTCTTTGTGAAGCAAAAGTATTGATCTTTTATTCCGATCAACCGGATCTGATCCGCGATGGTCCACGGATAAACCTCGACACAAAAAAAAATCTCACGCAAGCAGTGGGTGATAAACGTCCTCTGCGTGTGTTTCTAGAGAGTTGTATTTTTTTATTTTTATTATGTAAGAGTCTTATAAAAAGACTAAATTTACTTTAAATCTGTAATCGATAAACGTGTAATGGATTAAGCAATGAAAACAACTTTCGACGCAAACACGCTAGCGACCATAGTGGGAGCCAACAGCCTCTCTACCAATGCTGTAGTGTAGCAATCAAGGATCCTAATCCTGGTTGATACAGAGATCGAGTACGAGTTCGATCAACAGAAGTACGAGAAATACTTGTCTTCCTGCAGAACCTCCTTTTGCAAGTGCAGGAAGATCTCCACGAAGGTCCGCTGGTCTTCAGATCTGAAGACCCAGGGCGATGATCATCGTCCCATTGCTGCTGTAGTTGCGCCTTGCAACGCCCCTCCGACGTCCAATGAAACCGGATCTGTAGATTTAAACTCCTCAATCAAGAAGTTGAGTGCTGAAGGCGTGCCAATTCTGTCAAAAAAGGCTCGTCAAAGACAACGCCAACGCTTCGCACGTCAACAAGCCAAGGCCTTGAAGCCGATTGATGGGATTCGTTATAATACGGATCTAAAATTCAGGAAACGCCAAGCGCCTCAACAGCAAGCAAATGACTCTTCCTCCAAACTATCAACCAATGAATGGGTCCGCGTCAAAAGGACCTGTTCGACTCTTAAGGAGTGTATTCAAAAGCGTCGCGCACTACTCACGCACGCGCGGATTCTCGTGCAGTGACATAGAAATTGCAAAAGGAAGATATGACCAAAAAAACATCAAAACCACACCAAGTATGGAGGCCCAAGTTCAAAAAACCTCCACCGTCACCTCCACGTCCTCCCCCTTCCTTTGGCCTCCTACATCAACTACAAACACCTCCTCCATCATCACTTAATCACAAAAAAATCTGCCTAAACACTAGCCTAGCCGCTAAGCACCTAACACTTCCTGTAACATTAGTTCTGCGTAAGATTTACGGTTCTCAGTGGATTAACCCATGATTTTGGCTATTCTACTAAATCACATGTTGTCGTCCCACATAAATATTTTAAGCATACTCTAATATTCCTGAATTTCTCTAAAGTGTTGACTCATGATTTTGGTTGTTTTCAACCAAATCACAATTGTCGTGCATAGAATATTTTAGGCACACTTTAAATTTCCCGGATTTTTGTGAATTATAAATTATGATTTTGGGCATTTTTTGACCAAATCACAAGTTTTATATTGTATAGAATATTTTATGCGCACTCCAAACTTCCCAAATTTCTGTAGATTATAATCCATGATTTTGGATGTTTTGACCAAATTATAAATTGGATTCCTGCAAAAAAAATATTTTATACATATAAAAAATTTCTAAATCTTTATGGACTATAACCTATAATTTTGGTTATTTTTGACCGAATCACAAGGTGGCATCTCGCATTGAATAATTTATATGTACTCTGAAATCGTCGAATTTCTATGCACTACAACCCATGATTTTGACCGTCTTCGACCAAATCACATATTATCATCGGACACAGAAATCTATAGCATTTAGAGTGAAAGAAGACATGAGGGTATGGAGAAGATCACTATATAGCAATAAACTCATTTCTGTTAGATATTAAGAAACCGATAGTAGCTTTTAGAGATTGATTCTGACCTATAACTACTGAGATCCCAGATTGGCGACCATTAACCAAGGATTGGTTGAAGAAGCATGTGATAAAGCTGACGGGAAACTAGTAATATGTATTAGAACTATAGATAAAGTAAAGTCAGGGGTTAGACCTGCAGAATGAATTTTTTTAAGCAAAAAAACCTGCACACTGAGTAGTGTACATACATGAAGTATCAAAATCCATTTCTGCCATTTAGGGTAGAAATCAGAAATCCATTTAGGCTAGAAATCAGATTTAAGGAGTTTATTATTGTATAATTGAGTTCATTAGAGGGAGAATTTACATCTTTGTGAGACGCCAACAATGCTACTCCAAACTTAAACCTATGCTAACATTAATATCAGGTGGGATGAATAACATTATCGAATCATGGATCAGCATGTCAATCAGCAATCTACAATCATAGTGTGCTAATTAAAGTTATTGATTTCAAGAAGCAAGTGATAAGCTGGAAGACATGGCACATACATTGATGTACCATAACCTACAAAGATAGCTAAAACTTGGAGAGTATGCAACGCAAGCAGTTTATAATCTGGGTTAGGGGTGCTTATGGTGATAATTGCATAGTGAGGATAGAAGTAAAACTTACTTCTAAAAAAGTTGCTAAGGAGAACTATGTGATGGTCAAAATCAAATTAACCTTTTTATATATAAACATTACTCCGCATATTTTAGATCTTAGGAAAAGATAAGCACCTGCAAGGCCTTCCCCCAGAGCCGTCGCCTTCGAAGATTAAGCAGTGTCGCAGAGATTTCAGTTCTCCCAAAAGGTTTTCCTTCACTTGCCCACTTCTCAAGGGCACTATTAATAGACATCCGAGGAGTCTCTATCAAAATCTTCGAAAGTGCTTTCTTCTTGCCACTTGACTTCGTCTCATCCAACAACCCAAGTGCACCCTCGGCACTTTCATCCAACTCTTCCTCAGGAATGTCCATATCAACATCTTCCTTATCGATGACAACATCTTCGCTTTTGTCGATTTCATGAGGACCGTCTAAATCAGAAAACCCATCTTTAAGTTCATCCTCGACGTCGCCAGACTTGGTTCCAGCTTGAGAAGAGAGATTACGGGTCCACAGGAAGGACCGCAGAGGATAAGTCGGTTTATGGGAGTATGGCTTCGGCAGAAAATGCTCTTCAGCTACATGTTTCTCTCGCTCAATAGGACATCCATGTTCAGAATTTTCACCAAATATATCTCTTTCAGTGCAACGAGATGGAGCGACCACAATGCGACGACTTTGGCTCCTAAGAGTAAAGAATTTGGCATTAATTCTCATAATTGCTCAATCTGAAGCTAATTCCTGAGCATCCCCATGATCCCAAATGAAGAAACATCTAATTTTGGGTACAGAATTGCATTCTAAAATTCTAATTCCTGAGCGTCAGAAGTTAAATTACACAAAGGAAAAAGAGAGAGAGAGAGAGAGAGAGAGAGAGAGAGAGAGACAAAATTAAACAGGAGAAATTCGATAAAGGTAGCATTTTCTTCACCTGATAGGGTTTGCAGCTCTTCGAAGGGCCCACATGGCGATCTACTTCCTAATTTACACTTTTCCTCCAGTGGAGGAACCCTAAATTACAAAAACCCCTAAAACCCCAGAAAATGAATGAAGAAGAAAAGGGAGTGGGCTAAAACCCTAATGACGACCTAAAACCCTTAAAATGTTGGAAATAATTAGGTGCAGATATTTAGTGAGCAGTATGATGATAAACCCCTAGGCAACTGTAAATTCAGTAGCCGAAGCCCATGACCCATAAAGAGTTGGGCCTTAGCCCAACCCAACGTTGGAGTATAGAACAATTATTTTTGGGATTACTTGCACTTTGGCACCCACAGGTTACACCATTTTTAACTTTGGCACCCTATAACATTTTCTGACACTTTGATACCCCAAGTTTGCACCTTTTTTTTATTTTGATATTTTTTCAACACTTTGATAACCTAAAGGTCCGAAGTTTACACCTTTTTGAACTTTGATACCATAGAGTTTTGTTTGTTGGGTGTCAGTTAAAAAACGTGTAAATTTTAGGATATCAATGGTAATAACATGTAAATTCTGAGGTATAAAAGTGTAGGGGAAAGAATTTTGTTTATCAAAATAAAAAAAATGATCTCGGTTATTTAGTATAACTTTGGGGGCATCAAGTGCCAAATAAAAACTGTAGGGTCAAAGTTAAAAAAAGATGTAAACTTTAAAGTACCAAAGTGCAAAGAATAAGTTCAGACATTTCGCATAGAGAGCTTAATTTATAGGCTCTAAAAAATGATCTCGGTTATTTAGTATAACTTTAAAAGTATTTAACAGTATGCTGATTTTGAGCATTTGACATATTACATACTTTAAGCTAATAATTCCGATTTAAAATTTAATTTACACAGTAAGAGTAATTTCACAAAACTACTAATATTTATTAGGGCTTCTACTCAAAGAGTATCATAAACTATTTTTATTACAGATAAATATACTTCGAAATCTATGAGAATACCACAGATAAATATGTTTTTAGTGTAGAATGGAGGTGAACTGAGGTGGAGGATAGCCCATGAAAGAAGAGAGAAAATAGCAAAGGTTGGAAGTTTAGTAAAGAGAATAGAAGGGAATCATTTATTAGCTGTTAGATTCACATTATGATGGCCAAAATCTTTCACCTCTATTATTTACAACCCCAATTTGTGGGGGGGATCAAATCATATAGAATGAAGTGAATTTAGTTGATCTTATCATGATTTAGCCTCACCTCCCCTCTCCTCCATTCGCCTCCTAATGGATAGGTTTATCACTCTGTACATATCCAACCGTATAGACGCACGCCACCCGTTTCCTCATCTAGCTGACCAACAAAAAAGCTTATTTGAGTATTGACTACTTTAATGATGAGATCTAACAAAACAATCTAAGCTACACCGGTCAAATGATGATAACCTGTTGACCAGACCTAGGAAATACCTAATATATATAAATTGAAATCTAAGAATATTCTTGCAACTTTATCCTCTCCGTCTTTAAGCAAAGCTCTCTGCAAAAATCGAGCCTTTGATTTGAAAGGGGGGTCACCTTCTAATGATACCCTTCTCTTTTTTGCTTTTCTCCTTTTTCCATGAATGTGCAATCTTTGCTTAAGAATCTAGAGCGACCTATGATTTATCAAAAGGCAATGGAGAAATGATTGTGTTGGAACTTTCTTTCAACTCACAGTACTACAGTTCCCTTCACCTCAATTACACGTATGATCAGATTTTGTGATGCAATCTACAATATTGATATAATGTTAGCGCATACGGTCTAGAATTATATTAGCGTCTTGCATTCATTTAGTACCTGTGTTTGGTGCAGCAAAGCCGTTCAATGAGTTTTAGTCCCACATTAGAACAACAATTTGCTAGATATACTGTTAAATATGTTTAACCTCATAACTCAATTAAAGGGTTAATCCTTTTGGGTCAATTTGTGTCCACTATATTAGCCTATTCCATCTACGTGTTGGGGATTCGTCCTATCGACAACCTGTCAAATAAACCCTCTCGCGGAACGTGCCCTTCGGATTTTGTGTTGAAAGAAGGCAAGAAGAAATCACAGCAAATAAAAAAAAACTTTGCAATGAAAAAATAGAAGAGAGAACACCAAAATCTTAACGAGGTTCGACAACTTGCCTACGTCCTCGGGAGCCACAAAAAAATTCTTTGAATATTAAAGAAGATTACAAAGCTTGTAAGAGATGATCTCAAGCTCTTTGAGATCACTCAAAAAAGAACTCTCCTTTTATTTCTCAAGGCGCGAGATTTTTCTCTGAAAAATCGCCGCTCAAGGCGCTGCCAAAATCGCCGCTCAAGGCGCTGCCAAAATCGCCGCCAAAAAACGCTACAGGAATCGCTCTGCCAAAGTCGCGTTTAAGTGGCAGCCAGGGTTCCCCATTTATAGGGAAACCCTAGGTCAAAACAGATTAGGGATCTGTTTTCTACGAGTTCGCCTAATTGCGAAGCTCGCCTATATGACTTATGTTCGCCTGAACATAGTCAAGCTCGCCTGAATTGCTTCGTCTGCACTTGGAGTTCGCCTGAACCTCCAAAACTCGCCTGATCTTCCAAGTTCGTCTGAACTTCCAAAGCTCGCCTGTAGTGCAGGTTCGCTTGAACTCAGCTTCGAGCTTAACCTAAACTTCCAAGTTTGCATGATTTCTTAACTTAGAGAAATCTTTGCTTTGCATGCTTGTTCTAAGGTTTGGGTCTACACCCGAAATCAATAATCTCCCACTTGAAGACCAAACCTCCGTAAACAAGCTCTCTTCAACTTAGCAAGCACCTTCTCCTACCCAGAGAATCTCTTTCTTTAATTTAATATCTTTATTATAGTGTGGCTCTGTCATCATCTCCTATGCATGAATGCCAACTGAAGTTGCGCACAAGTCCAGTTTCTGAATGATCACTGCCTTTGTTAACATATCTGCAGGATTTTTGCTCCCCAAAATCTTCTCTAATTAAAACTTCACATCCTCTATCAGCGAGCGTATGAAATAGTAACGTACATCGATGTGCTTCGTTCTGGCATGATATACTGGGTTCTTGGCAATGTGTATAGTACTCTGACTATCACAATAAAGAACTCCGTTCTCCCGCTTTAGACCCAACTCTTCCATACATCCGGTTAACCAAATCATCTCCTTGTTAGCTTCAGTTACCTTGATATACTCTGCCTCAATCGTGGACAATGTTACTATCTTCTGCAAACATGAGACCCAGCTCACTGTTGTCAACCCTAAGGTATAAACATACCCGTTGTACTTTGCCTCGTATCATGATCACCGGTGAAATATGCATCCACGTATCCCTACAGTACCAACTCCTTTCTACCAAAACACAGTAGCATATCCGTAGTCTCTCTTAAGTAGCATAATATCCACTTCACGCCCTCCCAATGATGCTTCCCTGGGTTTCTTGCAAACATGCTCACAACTTCCATTGTATGGACGATATCTGGTCTCGTGCAAACCATTACGTACATAAGACTACCATTGTACCACTATCTTGGAGCATGTTTCAAACTATACAAGCTCTTCTTGAGCCTACACACTATCTCTTCTTTACCTTCCTCAGTGAAGTCATCAGGTTGCTTCATGTAGATTTTTTCATCCAAGTCATCATGAAGAAATACAGTTTTCACATCCAACTGCTCAAGGTAGATATTTTTAGCAGCTACTAAGTTTAACACCACTCTGATGGTTGTAAGCTTCACAACGGGGGAAATATCTCTGTATAATCCACTCCTTCTCGTTGTTGGAATCCTTTCACAACTAATTTGGCCTTGTATCTCTTGCTTCCATCACTTTTCTGCTTGACCCGGTAAACACACTTGTTATGTAAGGCTTTTTTCTATACAGATAGCTTGGCTAATGTAAAACCCCAAAAAATTATGTTAATATAATTAATATGAAATTAATTATGATTTATGGATATTTATTTTGATAAATATAGTTAAATGGGGTATGAGTATGATACCATGTGTTTTGAGAATAAACAAGTTCATTCATGAAAAAGAGAAGAGTCGAAACATGCACAATGGCCAAATATGTGTAACTGGAAAATTTTAGTCCAGTCGACCGCCGCGGTCGACCACAGTCCGGTCCACCACCACGGTCGACCGTGAAACCCGCAGAAGTCAGATTCCTATTTTGAGTTGGTTTTGGTTTTCTAAAGCCCATATTCGTTTTCCCTGGTTTATATATCAAACTTTCACAAATTTTCTAAGTTTTCTAAGAACCCTAACAGCCACCAAACTCCCACAAACCCTAATTTGATTCTTGGAGAATATTGGAGGCTTTCAAGTGGATTTTTCGGTTGATTTTGGCTTTTGGATTGGAGATCCGCTTTGGCTTGGCATCCTAGAACGTTTTTCTACAAGTTTCGGGTGAGTTCATCTCTGCTAATCCCCCTCCTAGTTTTAAAAATGTTTTTAAAGAACTTTTTTTTACATGTTTCATAGAGCAAAATTGACTAGTTTATGAAAAAGTCAATTCTTTTATATTATATGTATAAAGACTAGGTCTTTCCATGTTAAAAAGTTTGAGAACGAATTTATAGAAGTATGTAAGATCTGAAAATGATTTAAAACATGGTTTAATCTGAAGAAAGATGATTTGTTCTTCGTTTTGAGTTTTTATGCATGACTTAGGGTTTTGAATATAAATTTTATGCAAATAATCATGCTATATATGTTGAGTTTGTTTCCAGAAGTTTTTATCTTCTGTAGACATGCTCTCATGTAAGTTTTATATTGTTTTAATCATGTTTGAATCACCTAAACACGGCGTGAACACGACACACACAACCAGATTGAGAATCTGGAATATCAGCCCACGGTCGACCGCGCCATAGCGGCAGTCGACCGCGTGCAGGACAGAGGCCTGAGTAGGTTCTGGAACCCGTCGCGCTCAACCGCCGTTCTTGTGCGGTCGACCGCCACACAGTCTGTGACCATATGCATGTTTTGTTCGACTGTTGAGTTTTCGAGCTAGTCTCTCAACCTCGTAGTATTATGATAAACTGTTTATAAGCTGTTTAACATCTGAAATATTAGTAAACACCATATATGGACACGTACACCAAGATATGTACACGTATGTTTAAAATATAATGTGTTAACATGATAAATAAGAAAAATACACAAATATTAT